CTCCCTCGACCCCCCCCCCCCCCCCCCCCCCCCCCCCCCCCCCCCCAATCAATCCCTCCCTCCCAATGCTGTCAGGTACTGACAAGGGCACTGATGACACCGCGGGTTCCTCCCTGGAAGGCAGAGAGGCACAGCAGCCCACAGGAAGTGACATCAGCACTTTCGCCAGCACACGGGGACCGCAGTGGCTGCCTAGGGACAGAAGCGCCTTAGCCAGGCCGCCGACTGCAGCTAAATCAGACCCCATTAACCAATAAAAAATATAAATCAAGAAGGATCCAAGCTTCTGCTTAAATAGCGAAAGTGACGCTGAGAGAGCAGCGAGTGAGGAAAAGGTCCTCGCTTGAGTCACGGCGAGTTGACTTTGAGGACACCGGGATTATACAGCGCCCCCCCCCCCGGCATCGGGGGCCACTATCGTGAGCGAGTGCACCTTGTGACTCTCACATGCGTGTTCGGGTGAAGCCCACCGCAGCGAGCTTAAAAGTACAACAGCCCGTAATCGCGCAGACGACCTCGGCAGACGAGGAATGCGGTATAATTGCTGCTAATGACCCTGGAGCTCGTTAGTGTCCCTCTATTTTTACCCAGACGTGCCAACACCCCACCAGGGTGACGTCAGTCGGGGTTTGTTGTGGCCCCACGTTGCATGTGGATAACTTTTAATGGTGCAGACACTGGCTTTCGTTATGAATTATTCATAATAGGGCTGGTGGGGCCAGACGGCCGGTCAGTGCGAGGGAGCCACTTTTACAGCTTCTTTATTCCCGCGGTGCGGGCCCAGATCAGAACAGCGCCGATGCACTGGGCGCGCCTGCCAAACCTTGCTGACGCACTCGAGGTAGGACCCGCCGCGGAGGTCGCGGCTCAGGGAGCGGTGGCGAGCCGCCTTGTTTACGCCGACGGGAGTAGAAAAGAAAAGAGAGCCGTATTAAAAGAAATTCCAAATGAAAAGCGAGGACTCGGGCGGCACGGCTGGGCACGGGGGCCGTAAGTGTCCCGCAGTCGGCGTGGGAAGGAGCGCCACTGCGAGCGGAGAGTCCCCGGCAACACTGGCAGGCAACACTGGCAGGCAACACTGGCAGGCAGGTGCACGGAAAGCTGCGTTCCAGGCTGTCTGTGCAGCGACGCAGCTGCCCTGCACGGTGATGCCATCCTCAAACCCGGAACCGTGTGCCGTTCAGGACCAGAGCGCAGACAAGAAGGCAGCTGCAGGGGAACCACTGCTACCCAGAGACAAGAACCGACACAACCTGAGCTAGAGAGACATTCACTCATTAAGTATCCAAGTAAAATTATATGAATATCCGGTTCCTTTTATACTAAATTTCTTCAAAACATTGTATTGAAATGTCACAACCTGCAAAAAGAATTTATTAAAACCCTTTCAAATTTGGGACCTATGAACCAGCGATTCCACGGCCCCCTGAGTGACAGGGGCTTTAAAAAATTTGGAACATAATTGGATTGGTCTGGGTTGGGGGCCCAAACTCTCTAGCGGCACCCCCGAGTATCAGTGTGAACTTGGGCTGATTAAAATTAAGATTAAGGTTGGCCTTGATCCCAGGAGGACATTCTGAGACGGTCTCAGTGGGTGCAAAGCCGCAAGATCGGTGTGACCATCGGGTGAGACGCCTGCATAAGATAGTCAATAAGCGTACTAGACAGAAGCAGCTGTAGGAGCGCCACCCAGAGGCACAGCAAGGAGAAGCACACAGCACGTACTTGCATACCGGAACTGCACAGACGGAGCTATCTGAACGAGTGGGGGCGCTCCAGCGAGGTCAGGCCGTCGTGTCGGGCTGTGCTAATCTCACCATGCAGAGCCCCCCCCCTCCCCCCCGCTCTCAGACAGGCATCCTGCCTGCAGACACACACTGTCACAGGGCTCCTGCTGGATATTCTCCCACTTGACCAGCTGCAGATTTGGTCACAGCGCCACCTGCTGGTAGGCACACAATCTCACAAGCTTCATAATGCGGCCCTCACCATCTGCATTTAAGGCAGCCTCATTAAGAATCACAGCAACTCGGCTCGGGAAGCGATTTAATCCCCGTTCACAAAATATCTTCTCACCGACAGATGGCAGGTTCAGATCTCGAATCTTCCTGCCTACACGGCAGTATAATTGGGTCAGAAAGAGAGGCCATGCTAGCCGCTAAGCTAACAAGCATGGCAGTGCGAGGCCTCATGCAGGCAGGCACCGCAATTTAACCAAGAAGGACGTGTTAAAAACAGGGACCCAGCACAGACACAGGGACGATGTGCTGAAATGTGCTCCAGTCGAGGGGAGAGAGATTCTGCTACGGCCCAATTAGCGGGTTACAGATCACAGAAACGACTCTTAATAACATTAATCGGCTAATACCCGACACTAGCACTCAAGAGCAGGCAAATTTCCTCTCAAGAACCATTTGTGCCCCTTCCTGGTTTGAGACTGGCACATATACCCCTAACCCCTCGGTCTGAGACTGGCACATATGCCCCTAACCCCTCGGTCTGAAACTGGCACATATGCCCCTAACCCTTCGGTCTGAGACTGGCACATATGCCCCTAACCCCTCGGTCTGAGACTGGCACATATGCCCTTAACCCCTCTGTCTGAAACTGGCACATATGCCCCTAACCCCTCGGTCTCAGACTGGCACATATGCCCCTAACCCCTCGGTCTCAGACTGGCACATATGCCCCTAACCCCTCGGTCTGAGACTGGCACATATGCCCCTAACCCCTCGGTCTGAGACTGGCACATATGCCCCTAACCCCTCGGTC